CTGATAAAGATGCCTTTATCGGATTGCTTGATCTGGATACCTAAAAATAAGGTTAGTTCTCCCATCATACTCATCTGGTATTCTTTTTTCCATGCAATTAGCGAATCGAAAACATAAAGAGAGATTAGTGGAACCAAAAATAATATCATCAACATAAATTTGGACAAGAATGATATGACCTTTAACTTTCCTAAGAAATAAGGTCTGGTCAATCTTTCCACGGACGAATTTCTCAGAGATGAGAAATGAGAAGAGGGTATCATATCAGGCACGAGGAGCCTATTTTAACCCATAAAGAGCTTTATCCAAACGATAGACGTGGTTTGGATACTTAATGGTCTTCCTCGACATACCTTTGCAAAGGAATCTCTTTGCTCAGTTTGTGAAAAAGAAAAACAGACAAGAGCTAGCTTCAAGTCTAAGCAAATCTCTTCAGTGACCTCTCCACTTCAGCTATTACACATGAATATCTTAGGTTCTGTCAATGTACAATCCATAGCAGGAAAGAAATATACACTTGTCATTGTTGATGAGTACTCTAGGTACACTTGTGTCTTCTTTCTCAGATCCAAAAGTGAAGCACCTGAAGAAATTATCTTGTTCATCAAAAGGATAGAAGTACTTAACAATATTAAGGTACGATATATCAGAAGTGACCATGGAACTAAATTCCAAAACAGTACTATGGATAGCTTCTTTGAGGACAAGGGAATCTCTCACAACTTCTATTCTATGAGAACTCCACAACAAAATGGGGTCTCTAAAAGGAGAAATCGAAAAATCATTGAGGCTGCTCAATCAATGCTCAACGAATCTCATCTTCCTACTCATTTATGGGCTGAAGCTGTCAATACTGTTTGTTTCACTCAAAACCGATCGATGATCGTTAAGAGATTCAAGAAGGCAGCTTACGAACTCTTCCATAGCAGAAATCCTTCTCTCAGCTTTCTTCATATATTTGGTTGCACGTGTTTTATTCTCAACAACCGTGATCAACTTGGAAAGTTCGATCACAAAGCTGATGAAGGAATCTTTCTTGGATATTCTTCAGTATCCAAAGCCTTCAGAGTATTCAACAAATGTCGACAGACCATAGAAGAAACTATTCATGTCACCGTTGATAAATCTCAATCAGCTAGTTCTAAACCCATCCTTAATGATGACGAAGAATAAGAAAACTGGATGTTCTCTCATGTTGGACAACCTGAAGCTTCCTTCAACAATCAACCCAATGCTAATACTATAAAAGCTGATGATGATCCACTTATTATTCCAATTGCAACTAATAATTGATACGAATTTTTCCAGAGATCGTTGCAGTGCCCATTAGTTGCATTCCTCCCTCAACTTCAAACACTGACCAATCAGGGAATGAAATGTCTTCAACATCTGAACCTCTATCAGTCGTAGAATCTCTCACTGAGGCTTCTTTAGCAATTATACCCATTGCTGAAGAAATCTACAACTAAAGCCTCATCTTTTGTTCATGAACATCAATACTCAAATGACAGTCCTCTACCAGCTCAGCGATAGACAAAATGTGATGATTTGGTTTTTTTCATTAAGGGGTTTGTATTGGTTTTTTCAGTTCTGTGTGATTATTTGGGACTGTATAGGTGCATTTACATAAAACAGAAAAGTTAGTATTTACATATAGCATAGGTGCATTTACATAAAACAAAAAAGTTAATATCTATACTACATATATATAACCAAGTTAAGAATTAATTGGTTAGTGTTCATTTACCAAATAAGAGACACTAACCAACAATTTAATTTTAAAGCCAAAAAATGTTAAACAACTGAGTAGGTAAGATAGTAACATATGTCAATAAATTGACTCGGACACCTGAACTGAATCATAAATCCATGTTAAAAAAAACAACACAACTTTTTTTATATGTCCAATTCAATTGATGTGGTAAAAGATACAAATCAAATCACAAGTATTTCTCTATAATAAGACAACAATTGCCATGCTTCCATTAACTCAAACTCAATAAAAGACAGAAACACATAACTAAAGCTTCTTCTTCTTCTTCTTCTAAAGCTTCTTCTTCTAAAGCTTCTTCTTCTTCTTCTTCTTCTTCTTCTTCTTCTTCTTCTTCTTCTTCTTCTTCTTCTTCTTCTTCTTCTTCTTCTTCTTCTTCTTCTTCTTCTTC